CCTGCCCACCTCCCTGTGGGCCCAGGCCCCACCCAACCCCAAGTTCGCTGAGGTCCCCGGATGCAGAGGCACACAATGCACAGTGGCATGTGCTCATCCCCAACATGAAATTCACGCTGGGGGAAGAATGTGCCTGCCTCCAGCTTCCCATACAGGCTTGAGTTCCTAAATACATGAGTATTGTGTGCCCTGCCCTACCACCCAACAAAAATGTCCATGAACTGTCCACGGTGGTTGACCAGAGCCTGCAGCACCATGGAGAAGTAGCCCTCCCTGTTAATGTATTGGGCTGCTTGATGACTTGGTGCATGGATTGGGATGTGGGTTCCATCTATGGCTCCACCACAGTTCAGGAACCCCAGGGTGGCAATTCAAGCAATGATCAGGTCCAGGTCTCTCAGGATCATGACCGCACTGCCTACCCTTACAGCCTACAGAAGGAGACAGACAAACACACGAAACAGAATGAGAGAGGGAGTACCTGAGCCCTTGGGAGGCGTCCACCCTCCCCCCAAAATGCCCCATGAGCCACCCCCATGAAGTCCCCTCTCCCCAGCAGCAGGTGGAGAATGGTTTGGCAGGGACCTCTTAGGGAAGAAATCAGAAGGAGACACTATCTACCAGAAGGCATGGGATGCATTGTCCTAAGGATGGGGATTCCATGGCCACCACCCCCTCAGAGGGACAGAGTCATCCATCTGCTGTCCAGATCTGGAATCTCGAGAAGTGTGCTGCTTACCAGGAGCTAGAATTCAGGATGTGACCGAGAGTCTCACAAAACTGATCAACCCTTCAGATCGCTACCCCTTCCTGCTTCTCCACGTGGGAACTAATGATACGGCCAAGAATGATCTTGAGCGTGTTCCTAGCACTACATAACCCGCAGTAAGGAGGATCCAAGAATTTGGAGTGCAAGTGGTATTCTCCTCCATCCTCCCTGCTGAAGGGAAAGGACTGGGCAGGGATCGTCGAATTGAGGACGTAAATGCGTGGTTGCACAGATGGTGTTGCAGAGAGGGTTTTGGTTTCTTCGACCATGGGACTCTGTTCCGGGCACAAGGATTGTTAGGAAGAGATGGGATCCACCTAATGAAGAGAGGAAGGAGCATCTTCGCGGGCAGGCTTGCAAACCTAGTGAGGAGGGCTTTAAACTAGGTTC